GTCTAGGGGGGGCCAGGTTTCTGCTCGTTTTTCTGGATGATTTCTCGCAGAATTCCTGGGCTCACGGTCTTAAATCCAGGGAGGATGCAGCACGGCTGATCAAGAGCTGGATTGAAGGGGTGGAACAGAGGTTCTCCACCAGGGTTCAAGCTATCATCAGTGACAGAAATGCTAAGTACACTGGTTCTGCTTTGCAGGAGTTCTTTCACAAGAAAGGGATACGACACACAGTCATTTCACCCCAGCAAGGTGGGGTGGCAGAGCTGCGAAGTGGAGCTCTGGTTCAGGCTGCACAGGTGTTGCTGAAAGATTCTGAGTTACCTCCAAGGTTTTGGCTGGAGGCAATCAGGTATGTGAGCTTCACCTGGAATCGTGTCTATAACTCATTGGTAGGTGACACACCGTTTTCTTTGTTAAATGGCCGAAAACCCCAGGTTCACTTTCTGCGGACGTTTGGGACCCCTGCGCTTGTCTCTGTGCCTGAGGCTTTGCGAGGGCCAGATGGAGCCAAAGTCCAGAAAATGATCTTCTGTGGGTATGAGCCAGAAGCCCGTGCATGGAGGTTCGCATTTCCATCAGGTGATCAGAGTAAGTTACTGATCAGTAAACACGCTGAGTTCTTTGAGCAGAGTGAGAAGCCAAAGATTGTTTTCCAGCGTGATCTTCTCTCAGATTGTCTCTCTGACCCAGAGGACAGTTGTGATGAGGAGGAAGGAGAGGCTGAGCCTGCTGATGAGGACCAGGTCCAGGATCAGGGTTCAGAATCCGATGATGATGATCAGTTCACTGACCAAAGTCAGGAGCAAAGTCAGGAACAGGAGGAGGTATCTGTAATTTCTCCACAGGTTAAGAGAACACCCAAAAGCGAGCCTAGTTCTCCTGTGAGTGTAATGGAGAGGATTCGAAGACGTTTTAAGTCAGAGGGGGAATCCCGTGAGGCTGAGGACACAGGTTCTGGTGGCAGTGAGTCAGAGGTAACATCTGAGTTTGTGCCCAGAAGGTCCAGTCGCTCAACGAAGGGCATTCCGCCAGAGAGGTATCAGGCCACAGGTGCGTGGGTAAATTTCGCACAGTGCGTTTCTGAAAGTTGTGAGGTGGTTCCACAAATGCCAAACAGGTTTGCCAAAGGAAGGCGCAAGGCATTGGGGAAGGAATTGATCTCACAAGGTGTTACTGAAAGGGTTCAACAGGTGCCTGGGAAAAATGCCGGAAAGGGGCACAAGGCAAAGGGAAAGGTGTTGAACTCAGAAGAGTCTTGTCAGAATGGGCGGCAAAGGGGGGTGTTGGGATTGGAACTTAACAGGTTAAGTTTTTCCCATGGTGCCACACCATTCTGACGTCAGTTTTCGAAGGTGGGAGGAGTCGAGTTCAGTTCTCTCTGTGCTTTGAGAGAGAGGGACATGCTTTGCAATGGCTGCCAGCAGTGATGGCTGAAACGTTCCAATAAATAGCTGTAAATAGACAAACTTGCCTCTGTGTGTTTGTCTGGAAGCTAAGCTAAGGACGTAAGGCTGTTTTACATCGCTGTGCTTCAACTCTGCTACTGGCGTGACTGGACGAAAGAGCGACGGAGCAGAGGTGCTCAGAGGAAGTGTGCCGGACCTGCCGGGCTGCTATAAATCGCTAATTGTGGACCAATAAATCAATTAGCGGGGGTCGCGCCAGACCAATAAATCGTTTTACGCACAAGATTATGAGCATTTGGGTGATTTAAGAAGATCTTCAGCAGAAAAAAAAAATTCTCCTTGTTATGAATATGTAAAGGCTATTTCCTTTTTGTATGTCTTCACTTTGGTTTTGGGTTTTAACACTGAATATTAAGAAGGCTCTGTGCATGGGGGGTGGAGTTCCCCATGATTTAAAAGGTACAATTAACAGCATTTTAGCTCCTTTCCATAACAGCTATCATGCTTGCCCTTGGTCATATAGGTTACTACAGCCCTGCAAACTTGTTTTCAAAGTTTACTGAACTACTAACCTTAACACTGCCAGGCTGTTATTGGCTTTCGCTTAATGTTCTTCGGATTTCTTATTTTAATTATTATTCCAACCCTAAGCCAGCATTTATTCACTCAATTAGATTTTCCAGTCCTAGCATCTTTTGCATTCATCTGTTCTCATTGGCAGAATTACAAGTACACCAATGCAATGTAATCAGCAGACATTAATTACCGTGGTCCTGCATACGAGCTACACTGTCACCAATTAGAAGTGTCACCCACTTTGCCGCTAGCTTTCCTCTTCTAATGAATATGATCTATAGGAACAAATTAATCAATTGGTTGTAGGCATAGACGCCAAGATGTTAAAGTCTGGCAGGCCAGAAACCCTTCCTCCGCACCCCTTGACCTTTAGGTTTTTTGTCTTGTGCACTGAACAGCTGTACAACATAAGCTGTGTGATTTATAAGTCTTTCTACTAAACAGAGAGCAATCCCTTGGACACCAGGAATGCAGCTGCCTCCCTCTTTTAAACGAGCCACATGCCAGAAAATAAGATGCACCACTAAGAGTGACGGTGATCACAAATGTGAGCTCTGTCCCAACAACCATGCTGGTTGGCTGTATTTCCAGAGAAAAGAGAGTTCCTGGAAGACTTTGAAATTGCCTCATTCAAACGCTTGTGCGCGCTCTCTCACTATATATATATATATATATATATATATATATATATATATATATGCAGGTTTTGGTGTCCTCGGGTGTCTTCCCGTGTAAAAGTTGGGGTGTCTAGGCGACGTTTCGACGAGGTCTCACTCGTCATCTTCAGGCTGGTGCTTTCGGCTTCTTGTTACTGGAACAGAGCAGGATCTCAGTGTTTGAGTTCCTATAAATACTGTTGAGGGGGTGTGGTGTATAGCCTCCAATGTTCTGGGCAGAGAGGAAGTTCCCAGGCTAGTGTGCCTTTTCTTCTTTTGTTCCTTAATTACTTGAGGGATATCTTGAGTGATTTCTTGAGTGATATCCTGAGTACCACTTAGGTGGGTCATTAGGTGTGGATTAGTTGCTAAAGCCAATTAGTTGGCTTTAGCAACTAATCCACACCTAATGACCCACCTAAGTGGTACTCAGGATATCACTCAAGAAATCACTCAAGATATCCCTCAAGTAATTAAGGAACAAAAGAAGAAAAGGCACACTAACCTGGGAACTTCCTCTCTGCCCAGAACATTGGAGGCTATACACCACACCCCCTCAACAGTATTTATAGGAACTCAAACACTGAGATCCTGCTCTGTTCCAGTAACAAGAAGCCGAAAGCACCAGCCTGAAGATGACGAGTGAGACCTCGTCGAAACGTCGCCTAGACACCCCAACTTTTACACGGGAAGACACCCGAGGACACCAAAACCTGCATTCCTGTACCCGTGAAAATCTACGAAAGCATATATATATATATATATATACACACACACACACACACAGTGGTAAAGGTAAAGGGACCCCTGCCCATTAGGTCCAGTTGTGACTGACTCTGGGGTTGCGGCGCTCATCTCGCTTTATTGGCCGAGGGAGCCGGCATACAGCTTCTGGGTCATGTGGCTAGCATGACGAAGCCGCTTCTGGCGAACCAGAGCAGTGCACAGAAACGCTGTTTACCTTCCCGCCGGAGCAGTACCTATTTATCTACTTGCACTTTGACTTGCTTTTGAACTGCTAGGTAGGCAGGAGCAGGGACTGAGCAACGGGAGCTCACCCCGTCGCGGGAATTCGAACCGCTGACCTTCTGATCAGCAAGTCCTAGGCTCTGTGGTTTAACCCACAGCGCCACCCGTGTCCATATACAGTGGTACCTCGGGTAAAGTACTTAAATCTGTTCCGGAGGTCTGTTCTTATCCTGAAACTGTTCTTAACCTGAAGCACCACTTTAGCTAATGGGGCCTCCTGCTGCTGCCGTGCCGCTGGAGCACAATTTCTGTTCTCATCCTGAAGCAAAGTTCTTAACCCGAGGTACTATTTCTGGGTTAGCTGAGTGTAACCTGAAGCATATGTAACCCAAGGTACCACTGTATTAAAATAAAATATAAATATATTAAAAAGTCTAATGCTTTAGAATAATGCAGCCTCAGTGGATTGTAAAGAGAGGGAGGGTATACATATTTTTAATTCTGTGTCTCTCCTCTCCCCCATGGAAGTAGACTATTTACATCTAAATGGATGCTCACGTGAATGTTAATGAGCCAGCAAAAATAAAGCCATGACTTTGTATTGTGTTGCATTGGAATGTTCTCAAATGGCTCAGCCACTCCTTTATAAGAAGGAAGCAAAAAATACAAGCAAGTGCCAATTTATGTGTGTGCACAGGACCGCAGCCTCAGTCACCTTCGTTCATAACAATGCCATCCTTTCCCAGTACACAGAACTATTATAATGTCATGCATGGAAAGATACTGGAATGAGTTGTTGCTCCCTGTCCCCACGGTGACGCCTTTTCTGGCTTGGCAATCACCCATGAAGACAGCTCCATCTGCACTACCCTTAACAAACTCCCAGGATGCTTTGGGGGAAAGCCACGGCTGTTTAAAGTGGCATGATGGACCCCAAAGAGTAGTAGAAATATGGCATAAAGGTAAAGGTACCCCTGCCCGTACGGGCCAATCTTGACAGACTCTAGGGTTGTGCGCCCATCTCACTCAAGAGGCCGGGGGCCAGCGCTGTCCGGAGACACTTCCGGGTCACGTGGCCAGCGTGACAAGCTGCATCTGGCGAGCCAGAGCCGCACATGGAAACGCCGTTTACCTTCCCGCTGGTAAGCAGTCCCTATTTATGTACTTGCACCCGGGGGTGCTTTCGAACTGCTAGGTTGGCAGGCGCTGGGACCGAACAACGGGAGTGCACCCCGCCGCGGGGATTCGAACCGCCAACCTTTCGATCGGCAAGCCCTAGGCGCTGAGGCTTTTACCCACAGCGCCACCCGCGTCCCAATAGAAATATGGCATACTGTGCATTATTTGGCTCCCTGCTTCCTCACTGTGTCCCGTTTTCATTTTTTAAACTTACCTTCCGTTTGAAGGATATGGTTTCCTATTTCTTTCTTCAATATATCGGCTCTCCCTCTGTCTGTAGTCTGTATTGTGATGAGGTCTCTCAGAGTGAGCCATCTTCTGCCTTGCTGAAGTTGTCTGCAGGTACAGAAAACACAAAATCTATTGATTCAGTTTGCTGAATGACTAGCGTTTGCAAAACAACATTGCATTTATTACTCAGTAAGGAAGGCAAAGGAGGTATATGCGGGGGTGGGGAGGGGCAGGTAATTCTATGTAAGCAAATTGCAACTGTAGTCTTTTTAAAGCTTGTGGTGTCATATGTGTCAAAATGAGCAGAGGACCTACCAAGCCCTCAAAGGTAAAAAACAACCACCCTCATATAGTCTGAAGCTGTGAAAGTTAGGAAAACGCTAATGGGGGGGAAATGAGAGAAATACTAAAAACAAATGGAGGGGGAAATCCTGCTTTATTTTAAGCATCAGCAAAACCCATACAGTGGTACCTCAGGTTAAGAACTTAATTCGTTCTGGAGGTCTGTTCTTAACCTAAAACTGTTCTTAACCTGAAGCACTATTTTAGCTAATGGGGCCTCCTGCTGCCACTGGAGCACGATTTCTGTTCTCATCCTGAAGCAAAGTTCTTAACCCGAGGTTCTATTTCTGGGTTAGTGGAGTCTGTAACCTGAAGCGTCTGTAACCTGAGGTACCACTGTACATGGAAACGAAATGAATAGAGAGCTCTATACCCACTTCCAAAATCATTCATTTAAAATGTGCAACCGTCACAAACAATGATAAAAACTACTGTATTTTTCCGTGTATAAGATGACCCCATTTATAAGACGACCCCTATTTTTTTAAAACCCAAATTAAGAAATTAAGTTGTTTAGCTTTTTTGGGGGGGTAGGGGATGTCACTTCCTCCAATTACTCACCCGCCCGCCACTGCCGATCGCTTGCCACAGTCACTGCCGACTGCACACCTCACTGCAGCCAATTGCCTGCCTGCTCACTGCCACCAACAGCCCACCCACCCAACTGCCACAGCCAATCGCTAGAAGGCCTTGCCGCAGCCACCAACCACCTGCCCAATCACCGCTGCCAATCTCCTGCTTGCTGCTGCCATTAATCTGCATTCACTATCCATGTATAAGACAACACCCTATTCTTGCCTAATTTTTTTTTGGCAAAAAGCATCGTCTTATACATGGAAAAATACGGTAATTCCCAGAAATGCAGCTTCTTTAATTCTGTACCCCCACCCCACCCCTGGAAAGTACATCTCACCACTAGTTTGCTTTCTTCAGCACAGCCAGCTGAAATCTTCTACAGACTGGTTCATACATGCACATCAATAACTTGACCACCAGCTAAATTGCAGTTGAATGGGTGAAGCGATTCAGTTGAAAAGGGCTGTACCTGAGGTCCCACAAGCTACTGTTTACAGTCTTCAAGGTAGAATGACTCGTTCACATATACAAGACATACATAACAATGTTGCAGTTGTCAAAACCCTTTTCTCATGGGCTCCACCAGGCAGAGGGCCTTCTTGGTACTGGCACCCACCCTGTGGAATGCCCTCCCATCAGATGTTAAGGAGAGGAGTAATTATATAACATTTAGGAAACGTGTGAAGGCAGCCCTGTACAGGGAAGCTTTTTAAGGCTTAATGTTTTACTATGTTTTTATATATGCTGGAATCCACCCATTGTGGCTGGGCCAACCCAGTCCGAAGGGTGGGATATCGATATCATCATCATCATCACATGGGGAGTCAAAGCCTGCTGTGCTTGCTGCTGCAGAAACTAAGGAATTGTTTGTTTTGGGGTTTTCCATTTGTAGCAAAACGCTTGTGCACTGTATCAGGGTAGTTCATGGGTAGGCAAATTAAGGCCCGGGGGCCGGATCCGGCCCAATCGCCTTCTAAATCCGGCCCGCAGACCGTCCAGGAATCTGTGTTTTTACATGAGTAGAATGTGTCCTTTTATTTAAAATGCATCTCTGGGTTATTTGTAGGGCCTGCCTGATGTTTTTACATGAGTAGAATGTGTGCTTTGATTAAAAAGGCATCTCTGGTTTATTTGTGGGGCATAGGAATTCGTGCATTCCCCACCCCAAAATATATGCCCCCCACAAGGTCTGAGGGACAGTGGACCAGCCCTCTGCTGAAAAAGTTTGCTGACCCCTGGGGTAGTTGGATAGAAGGGAGTTGGGTGGAGGAGCCAGGATTCCAACCAATGAAGTCTTCTTCCAGCCACTCCTGTTGTCCCAGATCACTGTTTTGCCTTATACCCCTCAGACGGACAGATTTCACCCAAGGGCCTCTGTTATGGAGCTGCGGCTTTAAGCAAGGGCTTAGGTTCAAAAATGTGCAATTGTGACAAGAAAATAGGAAGCTGCTAATTATACAGAATCAGACCAGGGGTCCATCTAAGTCAATTCTGTTGAAGCTGATCAGCAGTGATGCTCCAAGATCAGTTCCTGGGTATTGAACTCGAGACCTTTTTCTGCACTGACCTATGGCCCTTCCCCCAATGATGGGAGAAGCTGCCTTCTTCCTTCTACGCAAGAGCTCCAGGAATGCTGCCCTGCCTTGCACCTGGCTGTTCGGATTGCAGGCTACTCTTTTCTCCCCCATCCAGTCTGCAAATAGACTTCTTTGCAAAGTTGGATTTGCTGAGTTTCATGAGTAGGGAAAAAAAAAAAGCATCCAGATTTTTGGGAGGGAGGGAGCTGCTCTCTCCTTCTCAATCTCTGCAATCCAAAAGCCTACCCAAAACTCCCCCAAAAACTCTACCCAGTTGCAGGAGGAGGAGGCACAATATTGAAACGGATCCCCGTTGTGTGGACAGAGTGAGGTATCAGGTGTCTATTGACGTGCGTAGGGCTGCTACCTTTGCTGTGGCAAAATACAGGACAGGGCGGGGCAGTTGTGGGGGGCGATTCCACCCCCCCAAATCTGATGCTGAAGTGACTTCAAAGCAATCCATTACAATCTATTGCAGCCTAACAGGATGGGCATGGGTGTAGCCGGGGGGGGGGGGAGTGTTGCCCCAAAACCCTCAAAAATAATTGAAAAAAATTAACCCTCCCCCTAGCAGAAGACTGCCCCCCCAAACAATGTCCCCCCTGCCACCCTTAATGTCCTCTTTTATGGGGGATTTTTACCCGTGATCTCCCCCCCCCCCAAAAAAAAACCCTCAACTAATTTTGGGAGCGATCTCCTTTATATATATACAAAAAGCTCCACCTGTGCTGAAACCTTTTACACATCCTTTAAAAAAAGGGGAGGAGGCTGGCATGAAACCCCCGAACCTCAAATTGGGCGGGAATTGGCAAAGGGTTTGGGGACCACCCCCACCCCCCGCTCTGAAGCCACACTATATTTATTGGTTTGGCGTTTATCTCCCATTTCCCTGGGACTCACCTCTGCGCTGGGAAGAGAGTCCTCTGCAAGGCCCTCCTCACAAGTCCAGGCGCTCAGGACCTTTGCGCCGTTGCTGGAGGCACGTCGGAAGAGAATTCGGGCTCGAAGTGGGAGAAAGAATCTTCTCTGTTTCCTCCCGGAGACCAGCAGGGCTGCATTTCCTTGTTTTCTCTTTGTGTGTGTGAGAGAGAAGGGGGGAGAGAGAAAGAAAGAAAGGAGGGCGGCGGAGGGGGAAGGAGAGCGCGCGCAGGTAGGACTCGCCCGGGTCCCGCCCCTCGGCTCTTCTTCTTCTTCCTCCTCAGGGGAGAGGCGGGTTTCGCTTGGCGCCCGGTTCCCGCTCTCGAAGTCCAGAGGAGTGACCTGCGGAACCTGAGGGCAGCAGCGGGAGGGGGCGGGCCCAGGAGGACGGAATGGCGCGACCGCCGCCTCCGCGCGCTCTGAGGGGCGAGGGCGCGCGCGGGTGGCGGCGGGGAAATCAGCCCCGGGAAAGGGAGCAGGTGCAGCAAAAGAGCGAGGCTCCTGTGGAGAAAGGGGATTTGCAAGAAAGGCAGTGAAAGGAGGGAGCCCACCTGTGGAGGGAACGTGGCCCTCTGAGAGAGAGAGAGGTCTGAGGGCGAAAAAGCGAAGAGTTGATTTATGAATCCTGTGGAACGCCCTCCCACCAGATGTCAAAGAGAACAACTACTACCAGACTTTTAGAGGCAGCCCTGTTTAGGGAAGCTTTTAATGTTTGATGCATTACTGTATTTTAATACTTTGTTGGAAGCTGCCCAGAGTGGCTGGGGAAGCCCAGCCAGATGGGTGGGGTATAAATAAATCATGATGATGATGATGATGATGATGATGATGATGAATTGCTTCCCATAAAGTGATTTAATGTAGTGACCTGGGGTGGGATTTGACGATACAATGGCTCCATTTGCACAAGCATTGCAGTTTGCTAGGTACACACATGCTGTTCTGGGGGATCTCCACAACAAGCCATAAGTCCAGATCTTCAGGAAAGGTTTTATGTTCCCTTGATACGTGTCACCTCCGAGACCCAACTGCATTTGTAAAAGGGCAAATTTAAGCATGCTAGAGATATGCAGCACCATAGGGACACGGGTAGCGCTGTAGTCTAAACCACTGAGCCTCTTGGGCTTGCCGATGGGAAGGTTGGCGGTTTGTAGCCCCGCGATGGGGTGAGCTCCTGTTGCTCTGTCCCAGCTCCTGCCAAATGAGCAGTTCGAAAGCATGCCAGCACAAGTAGATAAATAGGTACTGCTGCGGCGGGAAGGTAAATGACATTTCTGTGCACTCTGGCTTCCCGTCACGGTGTTTCGTTGTGCCAGAAGCAGTTTAGTCATGCTGGCCAAAGCTGTCTGTGGACAAAGGCCGGCTCCCTCAGCCTGAAAGCGAGATGAGCGCATAGTTGAATTCGACTGGACTTAACCGTTCAGGGGTCCTTTACCTTTATATTCTGTGTATGTGTGGTTTTGGCTGGGCTGGAAGCTGGAAAGAGAGAGCCCTGACTGACTCCCTCAGCTGAAGCAGAGCAGAGACTGTGGTGTCTTTGTGACATATGGTTTATTTACACATATATTCAGCCTGAGCCTGTGATGGAGGGGTTCAGAGCACCTTCCTTGCTCACCTATTGCCCAGCTTAATCTACTTCCTAACCCACTAGTCTCTAAGCTTAGCTCTCTTTATCTACAGAGGGAGGGAGGGAGAACCCCCTTCATTTGCATATCAAACAGTTTCTTTGATCCTGTGTTGTGCTAATGGATGATTACCTCAAAGGAAATTAGCCTGACTCAATTAACACTTAACTCACGTTGATTCTCTAGGATTATCGTTGTCTAATACACACCTTAGGAAGTTTGCCTGCCTTAATTAACTTTTAACACATGCTAATTAAAGGATTAGAAGCCTCTAGAACACAGCTCAAATATACACATGGATCTATCTTAAATACACACGAGTCGGGCTATTTTAGATACATGGGTCTATCTTAAATACACACAAATCTGGCTATTTCCCAGTTTAAATACTGCAAGGCTTTTTTAATTCTAACACTATTGGTTCAGGGACTTTAGGGTGTCTTGTACCCATTGACTTATAACAGTACCATTCCTAATTGTCACTAGGGCTACAGCCCCAAACCCACTTAACCCCAGAGAAAGCGCACTGAACTCCATACATCCAGTTTCTGAGTAAACACATATAGCAGGTGTGGAGAACTTCAGGCCCAGGGGCCAAATGTCCAGCCCAGGAGGTTTTACACATCCTGAGCCATGCTTCTCACTGGCCCTGCTCTGCACCCGTCTTGTGTGCTTATGCCTGGCTGGAATGTGCCCTTGAACTGTGCAAATGCCTTTTGCTTGCCTGGGTGGAGGATGTGCAGAAATTTCTCCCTTTGGCATAACTGGAATGTACCAAGGTAAGAGTCACATCTATTGCTCTTGGGCTGAAAAAGGTCCTCACCTTTGATGGTGTAGGATTGAGCTGTTATTAGACCAGTTTTACTATTTCCAGACCCCTCAGTTCTGCTTCTGAAATGCAGTTTACTAGAATATTAGCATTTTAAAACAGTCCTTATATTTTTAAAATTAGACTACTGGTCACACAGGGACGTGGGTGGCGCTGTGGGTTAAACCACAGAGCCTAGGACTTGCTGATCAGAAGGTCAGTGATTTGAATCCCTGCGATGGGGTGAGCTCCTGTTGCTCATTCCCTGCTCCTGCCAACCTAGCAGTTCAAAAGCACGTCAAAGTGCAAGTAGATAAATAGGTACCACTCCGGCGGGAAGGTAAACGGCATTTCCGTGCACTGCTCTGGTTCGCCACGACTGGACCTAATGGTCAGGGGTCCCTTTACCTTTACTGGTCACACAGCCTGGCAATGGCTGCTGGATAAACTCCCCCCTCTCAAAAAAACCTTGCTGTAATAGGGTATCAGAAAAATAGTGGATAATATGCTCAACTTCTCCATGGTCCCAGTGCAGAGCTGTAAGTTAAATAGAATATTGTAGTTATCTTCCAGCTAAAATGGTAGAGGATAACTGAAATCGAAGATGGATAAACACATTTCTCAGGATTCATTTGCTAATGTCAAACAGTTATCAAATACACTAGCCTGCGGGGCAGCTCAACTGAGCATGAGACTCGTAATCTCAGGGCTGTGGGTTCGAGCACCACGTGGGGCAAAAAAGATTCCTGCATTGCTGGGGGTTGGGCTAGATGACCCTCATGGTCCCTTCCAACTCTACAACTCTGTGATTCTATATCAAGGGACATTTAGCCACAAAAGACATGTCACGTTGACTCTCAGCCTATTTTCTAAATACTGGCTATTCACACATTAATAGGGACTACGGCTCCCATTATCCCTAGCTAGCAGGAACACTGGTCAGGGATGATGGGAGTTTTTATTTTATTACTTTTTAAATTGAATTTATATACAGCCCTATACCCGCTGGTCTCAGGGCAGTTCACAGGATATAATCAGAATATGAAATCCCAAAATACATAATCAAAATACAAACAATAACCCACCCACCCCCAACAACAGTTGGGGACCCAAGTTTGAGAAACTGTAGCTGCAAGTGGGCTCAGAAGGGCGAGGGAAAGCTGGTGCTAACTCAGCCACAAATCTAATTTAGGGAGGAGTGCATTACTGTAGACCAGGCATCTCCAAACTCGTCCCTCCAGCTGTTTGGGGACTACAATTCCCATCATCCCTGACCACTGGTCCCGTTAGCTAGGGGTGATGGGAATTGTAGTCACAATTCCCATCACCCCAGCCACAAATCTAATTTAGGGAGGAGTGCATTACTGTAGACCAGGCATCTCCAAACTCGTCCCTCCAGCTGTTTGGGGACTACAATTCCCATCATCCCTGACCACTGGTCCCGTTAGCTAGGGGTGATGGGAATTGTAGTCCCAAAACAACTGGAGGCCCGAGTCTGGGGATGCCTGGTGTAGACAGTACAGCACACCCTTCACATGATTTAGTGCAGTGCAGGCATTACAGTGGTACCTCGGGTTACATACGCTTCAGGTTACAGACTCTGCTAACCCAGAAATAGTACCTCGGATTAAGAGCTTTGCTTCAGGATGAGAACAGAAATCGTGCTCCGGCGGCGCGGCAGCAGCAGGAGGCCCCATTAGCTAAAGTGGTGCTTCAGGTTAAGAGCAGTTTCAGGTTAAGAACGATCTTACATGGACCTTAGATTTTTTTGAAACACTGGCTAACTCTGTGCATTTTGAGTTTCTGTGAAAGAGGCTTCAGCTAGAATGAGGTACAGTCAGTACATGGTCCATACATGATGCAGCTCTGAGCGAAGGTCAGTGCAAGGAATGCAAAATAAATTGGGTGGTATTCAACTAAGCCGCATTCAGAGTAGACCCATTGAAGTCATGGGACTTAAGTTACTTTCTCATGCTACTTTATGACTGGGATATCACCCATTTATTCTAGAGCAGTTGTTGTGCCTCATGGATACAAAAAACAAACAAACCCTATGGCATTTAATACGTTTAATGCAAACATGAACCCATCCTTATAGTTTGTAGAAGAAGCAGGGGTGAGGGGGAAAGAGAGAGACAGACTTCCTAATCCAGTATGCTTTCATTCTGGCTTGGACTATAGACAAACGAAATACAATTCTGACATCTAGTGTCTTATGTGGCTCATAGCAATTATGAGATCAGTCCACTTTTCTTTCTATTTGTAAGGAAGTCTCTCGGTTTGGTTCATACATACATACTCATCACTTTCAATGTCTTGCATGTGTGTAAAGACTGTCACAGATCTAATACCACAGATCTAATACAACATCTCAAACTTCGGTGGAGTAAGTTAACACATTGGGCTGCAAGCCATCAGGTTTAGACAGCTCCAGTCATGTCTGCATATTCACAATCGGCCCTTTAACCCATAATAAAAACTAGCTTATTCAATCGTTTTCTTTTTACAGAGCTCCAGAATTCTTGCACCAATGTACCAATTATTCTAATAGGGCAAGATTTTTATGTTAGGATAAATGTTGCAATAAAGTTTAATCTCCCAGAATGAAGTACTTAACCCCTAAAGGATAATGTTCATAACTCACTATTAGTTTAAACAGCTTCTGATTTACAGGCAAGAAAATTACACCCCGCTCTAATCTATTGCCCAAAATAACTGCTTTGGATTCTGGCAGGGATGGGATTTGCATCCAGCCCTAGCCTCTCTTTTCATTGCTGTCAGCTCCAAGAATATATGAGAAAGAGATAATGAGCAAAGTGATCATGGACAGGTGCGATGTGCTTCTTTTAGCTGACCTAGCCACTGTGATCCACGCGACGGTTACCTCCAGGCTTGATTATTGTAACTCACTCTACGTGGGGCTACCCTTGAGACTGACCCAGAAACTCCAGCGGGTGCAGAATGCCACGGCAAGACTCCTTTACGGCTGCGGGATCACATTCACCCGGTGCTATACCAGCTGCACTGGCTCCCGGTGGAGTATAGGATCTAGTTTAAGGTGCTGGTAAGCCCTATACGGCCTAGGACCCTCGTATCTACAGGACCGCCTCTCCTGGTATGTCCCATGGAGGACCTTACAGTCTTCAAATAAAAACATCTTGGAGATCCCAGGCCACAGGGAGGTTAGGCTGGCCTCAACCAGAGCCTGGGCTTTCTCGGCCGTGGCCCCAATCTGGTGGAATGCTCTGTCACAAGAGACTAGGGCCCTGCGGGACTTGACATCTTTCCGCAGGGCCTGCAAGATGGATCTGTTCCACCAGGCCTTTGGCCAAGTTACAGTCTGACCCCCTCTCTCCTTCTGTAATCCTCATAAAACTCTAGCCCAATGGTTGCCATTAATTTGATTCTGAATTGATTTTAGAATGTATTTTAATTAATTAACTGTGTGATTTTATGTACACTGTGCTATTTTTACTTGTTATTAGCTGCTCTGAGCTTGGATTTGGCCGGGGAGGGTGGGATATAAATAAAAATTTATTATAATTATTATTATTCTACCTGTCCATGAGGGCTTAGGTCCAGGAGGGCTTCCAAC